ACTAGGAGCAAGGACGCTACTGGGGGCGCTCCTGGCCATACTACTAGGAGCAAGGACGCTACGAACGTAACAAAGGGCATCGCTACTAGGAGCAAGGACACTACTGGGGGCGCTCCTGGCCATACTACTAGGAGCAAGGACGCTACGAACGTAAAGGGAAGGCAAACAAAAAAGAGCCGCAAGAGCTTCGACGTGAAAACACAATGACTCTCACCTCCTCACCAAGGAGTCGGTCTAAACATTCCTCTGTGGCTGTCGCGTTGCCCAAGAGCCTGGAATAGACATCAAGGAAAAAGGAAAGAAAGGCCTAAAGAAAAGGCAACATCGGACAACATCTTGTTGTCCTGTGTCAAGTAAGTAAAGTAAAGGGATGTAAAGGGTAGTTTCAAGACCTAGCCCTGACTTCATGCCCTCTCTTGTGTCACAGTTGCCTGGGCAGCAAAAGGCCAGAGATCTCTTCGCCCTCTTTGTTGCGACATGCCGCGCTCAGTCGCAAGCCAGCCCGCATCAGCAAAGCATAAACCTAGTCATTGTGCAAGGAACGTGGAATAAATGACCCTGGCTCAAGTAGCCTGCCTCTTCGCAGAAGACATCCCGAGCGATCATGACCTTATTCCAAGCTGGGAAAAGCCCAGCAAGAACAAACAACTAACTAGTCAACTCCGATAACCATTCTTGGTCCTTAAGGGCTGTTTCAGTCAAGCTTGGCGGCATGTAAGGCATGACATTCGGTCAGGGTGTGCATGAGGTCCTCTTCACCCTCCACCGCTGATGCCTCTTCATTACGCACAAAATGAATCACACTACGCACAATTCCAGCTTTAACTGCATTGTCAATTTTGTAGACAATACCTCGTGTCTGTCGACAATGAATTGGTATTGACAATACCTTGCCTCGGCCTTTGCTTCGACATTGGCTTTGGCCTCGATCAATGCCATCAGCACCGCAGTGTCGCAGTGCAAGGCTGCAGCGTGCAGCGAGGTGCACAGCAGACCTGTGAAATGTGTAAGACGAAGAAGAACAACAAAACATGAATACACATGCATAAGCACCCCTATTGACCCTATTGCATCCTAGTTCTTTGTTTCTTGTTACACAAATAACGAGAAACTTTATACAGTAGAATCAATTCTGACAATCCGTCGAACCTGGGAATTTCCTGGCCTTCGTAAAGGCA